GTTGTTGTATATTCAACATAACTCATGAAAGATGTGGGGGAAACACTACCACCCCAATGTTTGCCTTAAAAAAGGACGAGGTGTCTTACAAAGTTGAAGTACTCCTGGAAGTATATATTCTACTTTTTTTTTTTATCCTAAAGATAAGATATTTTGTCTCGTGATATATACTTGTATGAGTCTCAGAAAAACAGTTTCTGAAGTTACTTTGATGGAATTGAGGGGAGGAAGGGAAATGCAGGTGGGAGTGGGCAGACAAAATGACTCCAGCTGATCCTTCTAATTTGCAATAGTCTGACAACTTTTCAAGCTTACTCCATTACAACAGTGAATAAACACAACAACTGGAAGAAAAATTGAGTTTCCAAACATCCATTTTTATTCCCAAATTTTCACAATCAGTCTTTTCTCGTGACAGCAGTACAACTAGTTTAGAAGGGGTCTGAACATAATACATTATATATTCTTCAAAAATCTACTAACATTCAACTGCATAAAGTTATGTTGTCTAAACCAATCAGCATGCCTTTTAAAAAACATTTATTTAAGCTGATACATGCTGTCCATAAGTACATATCCTTTTTTAAGCCTTCGCAGAAATCAACTTCAGCAAAAATCATAATCCAAGGATATGTAATTTTAAGTGTTCACAATGAGTTAGTCCCCTACACAATACAGCACTTAAAAATCTGTCCTTAGTTAAACTTTCGAAACTTCGTGTGCAGATTTAGTGTCAGGAATCTCTAGGAAAAAATGAACTTTTAACAAACAAAAGACAGGCAAACTAATTTCAGTTTCGGCACTGTATACACTCACTTTACTGTCAACTCTGTATCCCCTTTGAATCTCTAAGGCACAACTAACGTTTTTTCTACTGCCTAGCATAAATGCAATGCTCAAACTTAAGATTCAATAAATGTGTTCCTATTACAGAGTTACATGGAACATTCAGATATGCCAGTAAAGTCACTCAACAAGTCACAAGCTGTTCAATGTTTTCTGAAAAGCAGAAAACAGCATTAGATGCTAGATATACAGATAGATGTTTCACTGAAAACAAAAGCATTTTGGTTTTGTTTCAACAACCATCACTAATATTCCAAAAGGAAAATTTCCAGGAGCTGTCCCTCTTCTCAACCATTTTGTTGTAAAATGTGAAAGATACACATGATAACCTAATTTAATACTAGTTAATTACTGTCAGAAACTTATATGCCCATTTATACTGCAAACTGAAGTTTCATATAAGATTTTATGAAGGCCCACTTCAGCCAACACAATAGGCTCAAAGGTGACTCAAAGACCTTAAAGAAGGCAGAGGAGTGTGGTACAGCTTTTGAAGACAGAAAATTAGGACAGAAGATACTACTCATCTTGTTTTCTTCCACTCCATCCAAAGAGTCAAGGGTGTTGAAAAAGCAGAAAAGGTGTCAAGTTAAAGGCAGGCAATTTCCCAAGCAAAAGGAAGGGAAAGCTAAAGGCTGACTTAGATAAATGTTCTCTCATATAGATTCTATTTCAGAGCTATAAATCATTGGAAAAAAGTTCAGATAAATTTTGTTTTCTTACCTATTTCTACGTAATAAGACTTTGTGTTATTTAGTATTCCTTTGATTAGCATGAGCTTACAGATTCATTAAGCGTAGAACTGACAAAAAGCATGGGCACTTTACTCTCATTCACACGAATGTTATCACCAAATGGTACCAGCCATATGACACCTTCTTTCTTCTTCCATGTTTGGACTGCCTTACACATAAAGTCTTCCTAAGAGCTAGCAGCGAAGCAAGTGTTTGAGAACTTTCACAGCAACAAATTTAAGAGAATGTAAGCATTTGCTCCCTACATTACCAGCTTGAAAGCAAGTGTTTTGTGTTGGTTTTTTTTTTTTTTTTTTTAAAAGCATGAAAAAACCCTTTGGCGTGCCTATACAAAATTCCAGAATGAAACAGTTTTGAAATTTATTTTACCTTCCACATTGATACTGAACAGAAGTTTTGTTTGTTTGTTGCTCTGAAAATCAAAAACATAATAAAAGAAATGTGAACAGATATATTCATTTGTTGGATCTCTAATTGCATCCTGGCTAGGAAACCATATTTAAGTAGCAGAATTCAACTACCAAGTTAGAGGTTATATTTAGAAAGGTTCTTCAAAGCTTGCTCATTAGATAAATTTTGTTTTCTTACCTATTTCTACGTAATAAGACTTTGTGTTATTTAGTATTCCTTTGATTAGCATGAGCTTACAGATTCATTAAGCGTAGAACTGACAAAAAGCATGGGCACTTTACTCTCATTCACACGAATGTTATCACCAAATGGTACCAGCCATATGACACCTTCTTTCTTCTTCCATGTTTGGACTGCCTTACACATAAAGTCTTCCTAAGAGCTAGCAGCGAAGCAAGTGTTTGAGAACTTTCACAGCAACAAATTTAAGAGAATGTAAGCATTTCCTCCCTACATTACCAGCTTGAAAGCAAGTGTTTTGTGTTGGTTTTTTTTTTTTTTTTTTTTTAAAAGCATGAAAAAACCCTTTGGCGTGCCTATACAAAATTCCAGAATGAAACAGTTTTGAAATTTATTTTACCTTCCACATTGATACTGAACAGAAGTTTTGTTTGTTTGTTGCTCTGAAAATCAAAAACATAATAAAAGAAATGTGAACAGATATATTCATTTGTTGGATCTCTAATTGCATCCTGGCTAGGAAACCATATTTAAGTAGCAGAATTCAACTACCAAGTTAGAGGTTATATTTAGAAAGGTTCTTCAAAGCTTGCTCATTATTTTAGCCTCCAATCTGAATTTGGAATAAGGTATGTTTATTATTCAGTGGTAAAACAATACAATTTTCCAATCATTAAAACTGTTCCTTATTTGGAAAGTTTGAAAGTTTCTGAGGGGAAATGACAAAAGTCATACAGTGTAACAGAGCACAGATTTTCTAGGAAAGTAAGTTTGTAACTCAATCTACAGAGTAAAAAGCACTACTCAAAACAATGAAAAACTATGAAAATTAATAAAACTGAGGATCTAAAATTTTAATTAATTGAAAAAATCTTACATGCCTGTTGGGTATGATTTTCATTTGAAATATGTAAATTTGAAGAATGCCTTGTTTGCAAACGTGTATTGATTATTGATTTAAATTGTTGAATGCAAACAGAAGATACTGCTAAAGAAGTGGTTTCCTCTGCTTGTTTTCATGCTCTTACATGAACTCAAAGGGTCTGCAGAAGGTTCCCCGCTGATGACATCTCCTCAGATCACAATACTTTTTGCCGGAAGCCGCACCATCAATGAAACTACTACCACTGGTACCATGAGTAGCAGTGCCACTACCAGCAAGGAGCACACCATGGACAGCAACACTGGCACCACCATCAAAAGCTCTCTTCCCAGCCTCACCCCAACAAGCAGCTCAAGCAAGAGCTCCCCAGGGACCACAACCATTCCTAACCATGCCACAGATAAGCACATCAGCAGCAAGGGTACCACGAGCAAGCACCCCACTGGTGCAGCAGCCACCCCACTGGCATCACAAACAAGCACCCCACCAGCAACAGAAGCACCGGGAAGAGCCAAAGCAACCACATGGACTCTACCAGCACTGGTCCCACAGGCAGCTCCACCAGCATGAACTCAGCTACCACCAGCAGCACCAGCAAAAACCATATTGGCGCTAGCAGCAGAAGCAAAACCAAGACCCCCATTGGCACAAAACGCATCGGCAATAATCCGACCATTAACATCCATACAGGACCTGCCAGCATCCATAAGTGCCAGACTGACATCAGGACTCTCACTACCACGACCAGTGCTGGTGAGAACTTCACAGACCTCGGCAGCACCACCACGCACCCTGCCGGTGCCAAAACGAGAAGTCCCACTGCTGCCAGCCAACACCTCACCAGCAACACCATTACCAAAAGCAAAGGCACCAACAACACAGCACAGAGAAAAGGTACAACAGCTCTAATCTTATCTTTACAGTTCTGACTCTGGTTGCACTTGGCTGTGAGCACAATGATTTTCCTTTTCTTAAAAAGGCTAAGGAATGACTTTTAGTAATGAGTGTAATTACTATGGAAACTGTTTTGAACATGCTGTCCTCCACGGATTTTATAGTGCAGTTACTTAATAACTAGACTGAAATATCAAGTTTCAGTTATATTCTTACTCTAGTTGCAGCTTTACAACTATAAACATTAATTTAAATAAAACTAGTTTTTTTTTTTTTTTTTTTTTTTTTTTTTTAAGAGAGAATTGTGACTTATTTGACCATAAACTGGCTAATATTTATCTTGGGATGTTCTTCCCAAGTTCTTCAATACTGCAGCATATGTTACTCATTATGAATCATTATCTTCCAGAGTAGGGAAGCCTTAAAACGTTCAAAATTTTGCCTTATTGGAAAAACAGTCTTTCGCAAAGTTCACACGTCAACATCTGCTTTTCTTATTACTTTAGTGATATTTCCACAGATCTCAATCATTTCCAAAAACATGGTATTATTGTCACTTAGAACATAATGGTGAAAGTGAAACAACAGCATGGTCTTGACTATGTATGAAACTTCTGAATACTTGTATTACTCTTTAAAATGGGATACAGGGACCATTTTGAGAAATTTTATCCCATGTTTTAGCTTGTTACTCATTTTATACTTCAGAAAATGAAGATGCTAAAATCACTGATAAAGGGTTAACGGTAATGTGGTGTAGAGGTAGTTTACTTGAGACAGTGAAAAATTAATAAAATGTCTTTAAAATTTTAGGTATTTTTCCACAGATACTCACATACTCCTGGGTGGAAAAACTACGACTGTTCTGATTTAGGAAACAATTCAATTACAAAATACTGTCACCAAAATTTAACAAATAAGCTATTTTCAGATTCTTGTTTGTTACAAAGTTGGTGTCCCTTTCTTATATACACTTGAGACTTTTGATTTTACATGTTTATTTCAGACAGGGAAGGTGAAAGATTCCTTACCGCCGAGCAATGTAGTAGAAAACAGGATTTCCAGCTTTTGATGTCCCAGCTTGGTAGAAAATATTTAATGTTTTCAGTGCTTTGAACTCCTCTTTTTCATGTACCTGATGCCTAAAAAGCAGTACATTGACATCAACTTTTCACAACTGCCTTTCAAAAAAAAAAAAAATTAAAACAACCCCCAAACCCTCTTTATTTGCATCTTTAAACAAAAGTATTAAGTTCACACAGTCTTGAACCTTTGTTAAATCACAAATGTTACTGCCATCTCCAGCTCTCAATTTAATTTTTGAAGTTAAAATCTACTCAGAAACCTAAAAGGTATATATAGACCCAGCTTTTTAAACTGCCCTTCAAAACGAAAGCTGGAGTCTTAATAACTACTTATGTTGCCTCACATGCTAAAGTCTAGAAACCCCACAATGCATGTCCCCTCCATGATAGTCTCATTACCTTGTCATAAATTCTTCAAATTTGGAACTAGTGAGATTTAAACTGGACCAATGGGTATCTGCCACAGGTTTGTGCTCAGGAGGACCCAGATAGGCAAGAAGAGTAGCCATCTTGTCAAAAGGTCGTCTTCCAACAGCCTTGTGGTCCCTAGAAACAGCATATTATTTAAAAGAAAAGTCCTTCTTTGCTCAGCAATTCATTTTTTTTTTTGCCCACTACCCTTCCTTACCTTGAACAGGCTAGATTTTCTTTTTTAAAATTAAAAAGAAAAAAAAAGAAGTGTTCAATGAAGAAGTAAGAGAAATGTTTGTTACACATGGAACAATTTTTACAAAAGATAAGACAACTATACACTTGCACAAAAGGTTGGCAGTGAAGTGGGCAGCAAAGATGTTAGGCATGTTCCAAATAACGGCTGGTCAGTAAGACAAAAGTTTCCAAATGTAAGATTTTTCAGCCACAATATTCTTCTCAGTAATAATAACAAAAGCATCTGAAAGTATTTCCAAATCTTCATTTCCCATCAGCAACTCCTTCTTCATAATATTTCTGAAGTCTTACCTGTTGCTGGAAAGGTACTGGCCAATTTTTTCCTGATTGTTCCACAGCAACCGGTGCAAAGCAAGTACATTGCCATCACTGATGAAAGACAGGCTGTGATTGACAGTGTCGCTAGCTGGGCAATCAGATGCAATATCAAGGAAAAACCTAGAGTTCAAAACCAGTAATAACCATAAGCATGTAAGGGAAATCTGCCAAGTAGACTCAGTGTAAATTAAAAGGCTGTAAGAACATTCTCCGCTTACTCTTTACACATGACACAGACTCTTTGTGCAAGTTTCCAAAGGGCCTACCTTCGTGCTGCATCAAAATTACTTTTTACAAAATCATTGAAAGGCCGCATATGTTCTTCTTTTGTAAACAGGACATGGTTGGCAATACTCTGAAGTATCTAAATAATAAAAAGATGGTAAAGACACATGAAGGTTTAATGTATTAACTGTTATGGTAGTCAGTGTAACTTCACTGTCAGAAATATTCATTTTAACTTGTTGCGAATCCTCAAGACAAAAAAAGGCCAACAAGCCAACTAATTCAAAATATGTTCAGTTTCAAAATATTTTCTTTCACATACTTTTAAATACTAGAAAATGACTTGCCTTATTTATGAACTTTATTTGAGTTTAGACCAGGAAAATAAATCATCTTTCAAAACCACCATTTATTAAATGTGGTTACTATTTCTTCTGCAAATTATACAGACATGTAAAAGCAATAGCTTATGCCTATTTAAAGAAAACTGTAATTTCTCAGCATTTAAAATTGATAATATGCACAGGCCACAGAATTTGTACACCATCATTAAACCTTTTTTTAATTTTTACAGGAACTAATACCAAATGAGATTAAAGATAGGAAAAACCACTTCTTTAGTGCTAGTATGAACTTAATCAATATCTGGCTGCCATTATTCTCACTGGGCTCAAAGTTACATTGGTTTCTTTGTTTGTTTTCAACTAAGGTTAGAAGTTCAAGTGAAGAGCCAGAAGGCATTCTGTTATCTTATACATAATTTTGGCAAAGTTTTTTTTTTCCATACAGACTGTTCCCCATACTTACATTGCTGTGAGCTATAACATTAACATCATGGTGTATAAACATAGTATGGAAACTGCACTTTAAATAAACATGACAGTTGCTACAAAAAAACTAAAAGTTTACCTAAATTTTCTCATTACTAGTCAAAGAACAGAACTAAATCAGGTAGAACACATAATATGGCCAAATCAAAATATTTATTGATTCACCTTTGACATGAGTTTCAATCCCCTTTCAATTCTTGGTGGAGGCTTTTTATCTAAAATCCCTGCCTCGTAAGGGGAGACGATCGCGGGATTGATGAACCGAAGGAACATCGCACTTCCAACTGCTCCAATGCTGTTCTGAGGAAATCGCTGACTAACAACCTATGAAGTTGAGAATTATAAAGAATGTTTTTGCATTAAAGGGAAAGCAAGCTGAGAAAAGCCTTGTATGGTAATCCAACTT